CCGAGCTGGGCTCCTGCCTCCAGGTCTCTCTCCCAGGCGCTGGCATCCTGTCTCAGGCAGCTCGCCTTTCCGATTGTGCCGGAGACATAGCCCCTAGCCGAGCTGTAGTGCGTCGGCAGATGTGAGGAGGTAGTGGGTCCGAATAAGCCCGCGCACGCCATCATTCAACGCTGGGGCCCACTGACCGACCCGGGTCTTTTGCTTCCCGGGTCCGCACCTCCTGAGCATCTAGTGTGTAGAGGCTGGCCTCGTGCAGAGGAAAGCAGCAGGCTGAGAAGAGGCACGGGCCTGTTTCGCAGGAGTTTTTGCCTCCCTGGGCCAACGTGAACCTTACCGCGAGATTCCCACCACCGCTGTGGATGCTAGAGGTGGTTACCATCCTAGGATGGCTTGATGCCAAAGGCCCAGGGCCAGTCGTTCATGAAAGCCTCTAGCAAATGCTTGTTTCCTTAAATTTTTCTCTCTGTGATGGCCGGTCTCGCTTGGTTGGTTCTTGGATTCTTATATTCCCAGAAAGAACATAAACCAGTAGTGAATTCTTCATAGATTTTTGATGAGAGGATGAGGTTTCTCCCTCTTTTCATCTTAAAGTAACAAACTACAAGAAGAAATATACCCGTGACCATGGCTTCTCAAATAAAGACCCAGAAACCAGGGTCAGTTATTCAGCAAACAGCTAGCCCCAACACTGGGGAAACCAAGTTGGCAGTTGCCAAAGACTGGTCATGTTCTGGGTGGTCTCGGAGAGTTTGAAGACATTAATTCTTACTGCACAAAATAGTGTTACAATCAGTTCCACCAGGCAGCCCCAGGGGCCTTCCTAGAGAGAGGAGCCAGCAGGCAAGGCTGCCCAAGGAAGAGACAGGCAAGTGGCCAGTGGAAAACATGTTTTTTCCCCCCTAATAGTTGGGCATTTCTGTGGCTCTGAAAGTAAACTTGTTTGCTTCATTTCAACAATAGGGAGAGAAATCCTGCTTTGAAAATATCACCCGGCATAAAAATACATTTGCAACGGGGCGGGGGGGGGGGACAATTAAGGCCCACCCAGAAAAAATATTCTTCTCCTGCATTTTTTAAGTTTGGTGTTTCCCAGTGTGGGTTTGCCTCATTCTACAGATGGCTATCAAAATTTAAATGCTGTACAATTGGGATGTTTCAATTTGAGTCATAGTCTGTCTATCCTAGGAAACTGACAAAAGAATTCTATAGAGTTGTTTTATACAGCAAATAAATAATCCCTCCTCTCCATCTTCTTTCCTGTTTAGGTTGGGTGGGGTTAGTACTAGAGGATGAATCTGATTTGGCTTAAAATCAAGTATCACTAAAATCATCCTTCCAGATCCAAAATAGAGATCTCAGGCGCCCAATATTCTACAGACCTTACTTCCTCCAGAGGTTGCCGGGCGGTTGTGCAGATCTACCAAGAACCAGATGCAGAAACAAGTTTTCCTCCTACTGCAGTTCTGCCATTTCTCCAAGACCGCTTTAAGGACTGCAGGTAAAGATAGAACCATTTCATCGTGTGGGGGTGGGGTGGGGCGGGGCGGGGCTCTGCTCTATGAAATGGGTTTAGTGTTCTTTCTTATCAAGTGACTTCCAAGTAAAGACCTGATGCCCTTGGGGGCATTCTGGCTGTGTATGAAGCCATCCTTGACTTGGATGCATGTCTTTCTACTTGCTGTCAGTCCTTAGATGGCAGAGGCACAGACCTGTACCTTGAGTTTTCCTCCACTCCCTCGGTGTTTCTTAAGAACCTACTGACTGTGTATGTAAGGCTGTGTTCCAACACTGTAGATGTATTTCAGATTTGCCTACCCGGTTTTCTTTTTTTCTGGGTCACTTTGCGTCTTTATGGCTGAGTTTCATAAAAGACTAATAATAATCCACTTCATCTGTATAGTGCTTTACAGCTTACGGAGCACTTTTACAAAAATTATCCCATGTGATCCTCCCACAGAAACCTCAGTTAGGACTAGTGTGGGAAGCGTCATGGATGAGTGGCAAGAGCCTAGGCCAGGAAGACAGATTGATAAGAGAAACATTCTGAGATGTCCTACATTTAATTACAAACGGCCAGAGGATGTAAGAAAAGAGAGGTGGTAGGGAAGGTTAGCCTGTGGCAAACTGTAGGCCCCAAGGAACAAAAGACTGTTTTTATGTTTTTGAATATACTCTAACAGCTTTACTCAAATGTGCTCTGACTGCCTAGGGTATCCTTCTTGCAGCCCTAAGCAATACAGAGGGCCTAGCTTCTTCTCTGATTGCTCTCCCATCACAAAGCCTTTGCTGCTTTGGGTAATCCCACACTTGTTACCAGTAGCCAATGTAGATTCAATGTAAATAATATGTACGTAGCAATGTTTGCACTGTGAAGTGCTCTGGCTTTTAGAGCTAGGGAATGAGCCGTCCAGCCCAACGGGATGGTGGTGGTTGCCGAATTTGTCCCAGCACCTAGTCATTTATTTTTCTGATTAGTATCTGTGATGGCTCAATAAACCCTTTTATTTCAGAGAGTTCTTACAAGGCCTTGGGCATTTTGATTTAATAAGATACAGCCTTGTACCCATTTTACAGATGAACAAGCTGAACCTCCACTCAGGACTTGAATAAATTCTTTGTGGTCAGCAAACTCATTAACGAGTCAACAAATCTTTGCAGTTTTGTGAACTGCTGAAAATAAGCATGCTATATAATATGTCAAGCATGCTCAAATCAGAAAGCCAAAAATCTCAAACCCAGTCATATTTTGATTCCCCCAAAGGAAAGAAGGATGAGAATATCTCAGTTTTTTGTAAATTATAAGTAATAAAAATTCCAACTATATTAAATTGATCCACAATTAATTCCTGTGGGAATAAAGAAATTACAGTTCTAATATTAAGAACTAGGACTTCTAGACCACAGACAGATTCCCTTTGGTTTTATTTTATATCATTCTCATAATTATATTTTTCTGATGATTTTTTGTCAGAAAACAGTTCTCACCCCACCCTTAGTCGAATGTTTATCATACATCATATTTTTAACTTTTAAGGTCTTGCATACTCCAGGAAAGGAGTATCTGTACAGCCTTCTACTTCTAGAGACTAGAGAGTCATGACATCAAGAAGACTCCCAGCTCTCACGTAGCCAGCAGAGGCTTTAGGTAGGTGATCTCAATGTTTCTTTTATTTTTTCTATGTCTAAAAGACAATCCCTTAATTGATATTTTTTTCTGACATATTTTATGCATGTCTCTCATACCACCAGTGCCGTGGTCCTTAAACATTATTATCTATAGAACTACCTGAGATGCTTTATATTTTATATTTATATAAATTTATATTTGTATTTCAAATTTGGATCCTGGAGTTCCATTTTTTGGAATCCTCAGCTCAGTGAGTTTGAGGTGGTGCCTAGGGATCATTTTTAGAATCACACTTTCTTCCTCAAGCAATTCCTAATATTCTTTGGGAAACTTGCTACTGGAAAATAAGCTCTTTGAAGGAAAAGGGATTCCTTTGTATCCCAAAATGTCAAGGTCAAGAATGGCCCTTGTCCACCTGCTATCATAGTATTTGTTAACTAAAGTCATCTATATAAAAGCTCTTCTCACCTCTGACATTTGGGTTTTTTTCCTAAGACAAATTTTCCACTTGATTATTCTAGAAAATATTTAAGATTCAGTGAGTTCAAGAAGGTAATGTCATTAAGTAAAGTCCTATGACAAGAAAGGATACTGATTTTGAATCAACAAATGGGAGATTTGTTGGCCAACAGGCATTTGTGAGAAGAGAGTACAATGTTTTTGACACCCCTATCAGAAAAAATACTTGGCTAACTTTTGTGTCTTTTGTAGGGTTCATGAAAAATTAATGTTCTAAATATTTGCATATCATTGAGTTGAACTCTCAAGTTATGACAAATCCATTATCTGGTTACAGTTGTTAACATTATTGGTTGAATATACTTGGATGGCTCAGGTATCCCAAAGAGAATGTGCTTTGTGATTTTAAATTTTTAATTATTTGTCAATTTAGGATAGCAAGGGAATCCTGCAGGGATGCCTTTGGAGTGTTGGAAGAGGGCAAGGACTAGTGCTTTTTTGCAAGCAAGATTGACCAAGAGCTGAACTTGACATTGAAGTTTGGCCTAATATGAGGGCATTACCTAATAGTCATGGTTTTGTGTTGGAATTTTCTTGGGAAATCTTTCATCAGAAGCTCAGATTTTGATTTGTTATGATGGAAAGAACAACAAACACTCTTCAACCTACCTTGGCTGGATTGACGGAGTGCATTTTCACATGCACACTTGCAAGTAGTTTATGTCATCCTTACTCTGTTCTGCAGAAGAAGGGATCTCCAGACACAAAGGTTTCTTGCATTCTTGTATTTCCTGTCTCCACAGAGCCTTTTGCACACATGCAACTCAAACACATTTTATACAGTAGCTCATTGGTTTTTCTGTAACCTTCAAGGACCAAAGCCTTATTTATTACCACAATGTTCTTTGCAAATAGAACTGTTTTTTTAAAAGAATGTTTTCTTCTTATTTTGCGTGTATAAGTGTTTTGCCTGTATGTATATACAGGGACCATGTGTGTGCCTGGTGCCTACCAAAGTCAGAAGAGGGCGTCAGATTCCCCCAGAACTGGAGTTACAGATGGTTGTGAGCCACCATGTGGGTGTTAGGAGGTGACCCAAGGTCCTCTGCAAGAGCAGTAAGTGCTCATAACCACTGAGCCAACTCTCCAGCCCATGTAGAGCTGTTTTTGTTTGTTCCTGCAGAGAGTAGCTTTCTTTCTTTCTTTCTTTCTTTCTTTCTTTTTTTTTTTTTTTTTTTTTTTTGAGACAGGGTTTTTCCTTGTAGCTTTGGAGCCTGTCCTGAAACCATCTTTGTAGACCAGGCTGGCCTCGAACTCACAGAGATCTACCTGCCTCTGCCTCCCAAGTGCTGGGATTAAAGGCGTTCACCACCACTGGCCGGCGTAGGTGGATATTTATCTGACCGGTTTGCCTGGTCTGTACCGTCTGGAACTGGAGGGAGTAGAGGCTGCCAATTAGCTGAAACTTATTAAGTGGATTGAAGGTGATTGTCTAGACTAAGCGTATTTAATTTTGTTTGGGTGCTCCAAAGCATGTGTGGTTTGGGGTGTTCTACTATAGGTCTGCCAAGTACTAAGAAGATGAGTTCCACTGAGGCAGTGTGGTTTCTTAGTTGACATTTAGATATGTATCTCTTCCCCCAAAGGCCTACAAAATCCTGGTCTGTATGACAGAGAAAAACATTTTTATGAAATTCTTGTGTGTATGATGAAAAACATATTTATATAAGACTGGCAGAGGGCAATTCAGATCAACACAATTGTAAACAGACCCCTATCCTCAAGGCATTTGGCTGTAGTGATTTAGAACTTGAAATAAAAGGAATTTTTACTGACTTTCTTCTTAAGCTGTTCTTTCAGTCTGCCAATTTTCTCCCTGGTTACTGTCGACTTTGGAGAGGGATAAGAGAAGAAAGAACTCTGGGTTAGTCACATGCACGATAAATGAAAGACAGTACTGTTTTTTAATGACCAAAGAGGGTACATATACAAATCTTTTTTTTAAATTTGTTTTTGTTTGTTTGTTTTTCAAGACAAGGTTTCTCTGTGTAGGCTTAGCTGTCCTGGAACTCACTCTGTAGACCAGGCTGGCCTCAAACTCAGAGATCCTCCTGCCTCTGCCTCCTGAGTGCTGAGATTAAAGGCGTGCACCACCACCACCCAGCAATAGATACAAGTCTTAATAAAAGCATTTGATGTAATGGCTTAATAATGATTCTGAAGTTGGTGGGGTCAATGTGCAATGACATGCTTTAAAAAGTCAGTGGTAGGAAAGATGGGGGTGACTGGAACAGTGAACCAAAAAGGACAGGGTTAGGGACCGGCCAATTGGACCATCCTTTCTTTGCTTCTGTTACCTCTGCCTCTGTTTGAGAAGGGAGAACTGCCAATCATTTTTATTCGAAGTGGAGATAACTTCTGTGCCCCTTCTGCTCTACTCACACACTCGGCTTTCTCCCTTCATATATTTCCTCCATAATCATCTTCATTTTTTTCTTTTTTTGAGACAGGGTTTCTTTGTGTAGCTTTGGAGTCTGCCCTGGAACTCACTCTGTAAACCAGGCTGACCTCAGAGATCTGCCTGCCTCTGTCCTCTGCGCACCGGGATTCAAGGTGTGCACCATTTCTGCCCAGCTCATCTTCATCTTTTGTATGTGTGTGTTTTTCAAGACAGGGATTCCCTGTGTAGTTTGGTGCCTGTCCTGCATCTCCCTCTATTTATTTAATGTTTATTAGGAGTTTACCATGTGTCAAGAATTGTTAGATGCCAGGGATATAACACATATAGTTCCCTGCCATCCTGGTACTGTAGTCTCTGACTTTTGAACGGCAACAGTCTTTCATGCATTAATTGATCTGATCTTCATAACAATTTTTCAGAATTTTCATTTTATGCATAATGAAATTAAGATTAGAGAAGTTCAAGTGGTTTAGCCTAGGTCACACAGCTTATCGGTTACATGGTTGGGATATATACCCTTAATTTCTGTACTCCATGACACTGGACTTTCTGCAGCATTTGCTACTTATTTAGATCTAATTTGCTATTTTAAAATAATTTTTAGGCAATGTTTTACTGTCTCACCCAGGCTGCCCTTGAACTTGATATCCTCCTGTCTCTACCTCAATCACTGAGATTACTGGCATGTGACACCATGTCCAGTGTCTAAATTGCTTTTCTGAATAGAACTAAGACTGATGATTTTATTCTTATTTTAGTGAGTTCTTATTCGGTAATTTTTTCCTCCCTTTATCAGATGTTATTGAGCACCAAGAATGAACATGTTTATTGTTTCGTTTTTGAGACAGGTTGAGCCTTCTAGCTCAGGTTGACCTCCTATTCCAGACAGTTCTCCTGTATCTACCTCTCTGGTTGAGATTTTAAGTTGGAGTCACCATGCCCTGCCATAAATAAATGTAATCCAAGAAATTAATGATCCTATGATATTTATTATGCCAAATCATTTCTAGGTCTTAAAAAGATTAGGTTATCTTTGTAATGTGTATTTATTAGAATACACTACATATTTTGTGGCACCCTCCCAATAAAAACGTCAACCTGAGATCAGGAGTTCAGAAATCATGAGTACGGAGATCGGGAGTACCAAGACTGGGAGTCCATGTTGTTTAAGTAAGGGAAGAGGTTGATAAACTTCATTCTCAATAAGTCTGAATAAATAAATGAATGCCATTTCCAAAGCAAAGGGCCCGGAATGAAGAGGCAGGACTAACAGTCTTTATTCAGCTAACACTGGGGGATTTAATTCACACTCCAGGCTTCCATTTCCTCAGCTAGAGTGGGTTTTAGGTACTTTCTGTTGTCTATACCTGTATTTCCAAATTTGAGTTGAGCAGACAGAGAAATGGTAGGGAACCAGAGAGGAGACTACAGCAGGCAGGGCTCCAGTGAGTAGGGGCCCCTCCCAGGGCAAAGTGAGAGTGTTACAAATCTGTTACTCAGGCATTGATCTGGGGGTGTCTGTTCCTCTGTGGGAACAGTCACTCTTACTTCCTTCTTCCCTTTAAATCAAGTCTGACTCTTTCTTACATCAATAGCGTTTGCTTTAGAAATATCACACCTGGGTGAGCATGACAGCCCAGTACGGTGAGAAGACCGCTTTAACTTTGATTTTCCAACTTGGAAGTGATGCCACTTCTAGAAATGCTGAGGAGGTTTGTTTGTTTGTTTGTTTGTTTTTTCTATCCCGAAAGATTTTCTCCAGATTGCAATTCTAACCCTTTCAGTTCAGTAGGCAGATAACAGTCAGTAATTACCAACCAGTTGATTCTGAAAGAATTTCATTATGGGTGAATAAGTGGGTATCATCCTTGGGGGCTGAAAGGACAGCTGAAGGAGTCATAGATCCAGGAGTGCACACGCATGTGAGTAACTAAGGGGCACACAGGCTTAATGAAGGGCTTGCCATTATTCAGCAGCCTCAGATAATCCTCCTTGGCACTGGCCATCACTGTTCCCATTATTTCTTGTTCCTTCCCTAATTGATGAAAGGGAATGGAAAGATTCAGAATGATGCTTCCACATTAGAGACACCAAGTGC